ATAATGATTGGGGAAAACAGAAAAGATATTGAATGTTGAAGTGGGGAGATTAATGTCTTTGTACTGACTGTCATGCATGGCATTCTCTTTTGAAAAAGCAATGTAATACACTGTAAAGTTATATGTAATCCAATGTAATATAAATAAGATTATGATGATAATAAAAAAAATAATTCTTTAAAGAAAAAAAAAAGAATTCTAGGGGATAAGATCTGAAGACTCGGTTCTCCAGTGAGGTCTCCTTGGGAGATGGAAGGAATTCCCCAGCACCCTAGTACATCTGCTGCTGAGGGGATGAAGATTGCTGGCAGGAAGCGGGAATCAAGTGAAAAGTAGACTTATCAAAGGCTTTGGGGAAAATGCTTCGCAGCAGTGCTTTTTCTGAGAAAGTCCCTCTGAGTCACTGGAATCTGGAGTGATCAGCCCACCTGGGAGGGCTTCCTCCTACAAGCTCCTCCAGGAGTCTGCAGACTGTTTTCTTGGTAGGATCTGCAGACCACCTACCTCGGAATCACAGGCCAGCTGCGGGTGGTCTATGTCTTTGTCCCTTCCAAAATTGTAAACCATTGGGAACTAAAGGATATGACTCTCAGCTATTGAGAGGGACCCCATCAGGCCACCGACCTCACTCCAATCCCCCCAATATACCAGAGTTGACTGGATTCCAGACTTCACTTTTAATTGTGAAGCTGCGTCAGGAGCCAGGCTGGAGTTCTCTCCCTCTGTCCTCACTCGCCCCACCCTTCTCGCTTTCGCTCACCCACGCGCCCCCCCACACACCCATTCTCCCCCTCAGGGTACAGAATTGGGTCAGGCCAGCGAGGACACTCCTCCGGGAAGAAAGAGAAGGTCCTTCCACCAAGCCTAGTTCAGTTCGCCTCCCTCTGGAGCATTAGGGGAGGCAGTGAGGCTCTCAGCCGGCCCAGGTTCCAAAGCGGCTGGGGCGCCCTTCACCGTCTGGTTCAAGGTGCCCCCGCGGCGGGCGCTGGATGCCTCAGAGCCCGTGCCCTCCAGCAGTTTGGCGACGAAGCCCACTCCGGCCGAGCGCAGCAGGCCGCCCCCCGCGCACGCGTACAGCACGGGGTTCACGCTGCTGCTCAGGAAGGCGAGCGCGATGAGCACTTTGCGCGCCAGGACCAGCCGCATGCCGGTAGGCCCGGACTTGGCGGACAGGCCCGCCAGCGCGCGGCCCGCCTCGGCCCGGTTCACCCGGAGGATGAGCGCCGCCGGGCGCCCGGTCCGGCGGCTGCGGCGGAAGCGCCGGGACTGCAGCCTGCGCCCGATGTCAGAGTAACTGGCCACGACCGCCAGGAAGGGCAGCAGGAAGCCCGTGAAAGCCTCGAAGAACAGGTGGAAGGCCTCGTGGCGATAGGTGGGGTACTTCAATATGCAGTTGTTCCTGTTTTGATTCCGGCTCACCGTGCGGTACACGAGGACAGGAGTGGCCAGGAGAAAGGACGCCACCCAGATACCTGCCAGCATTCGCCCAGCGACAGCCTTGGTGCGCAGCTTCTGGGATAGGAAGGGGCGAGCCACAGCCAGAGAGCGGTCCAGACTCATGGCCGTGATAAGCAAGATGCTGGCGTACATGCTGACTCCGCACACATAGTGACACAGGAGGCAGCCACCCAGTCCGAAACTCCAGGTGCCTTGGGTCAGGAGGTGAAGGAAAAAGGGCGCGGTGAGCAGTACCGCTAAGTCCGCCACTGCCAAGTTCAGCACCATCAGGGCAGTGACTGAGCGCTTCTGCATCCTCCTCAGGATGCTCCACACCACAAAGCCGTTGCCCGGAAGCCCCACGGCCAGTGCCACTGAGAGTAGGATAATAGCCAGGGGGCGGATGAACTTGGCACCTGCCATGGAGGGCGAGGCAGCAGAGGTAGTGTTGGTGGTCATCCTGAAAACCTGGAGGGTGAGGGTGGACACCACATAAGGGTAGGGGCCATAGGGCTCTGGACACCCTGGACACACCCAGTGTGAGTACTGTGATCTGTCTCCAAGGACAATAGCCTCAGAGCCACTTTTGAAATACACTGTTCCCATCACGGCTGACTGACCTGTCTGAAGGGAATCTGGTCAAGTAGAAAGACTATGATTTCCTAACTGGGCCACGGGGCCCCTTCCTGCCCACAGACCCAGTTGCAAAATGTACAGCGACAGCAGCAGTGACATTTCCAGACCTCCTCAGCCTTCTTGCCTTCGGAGTCTCTGAACCCCAGAACCAAACTAGGAGATTTTCCACACCAATGCTACACCCCTGGAAAGTCTAGCTCCCCTGTCCCCTGCCAGCCCCTTAGCCCCTCAGTCCCATTGACTGCCTCTAGTCACCTGCCCACTCTCTCAGAGATACCTAGAACCCACCTGGAAGAAGAAGGTTAGGGAGGAATTCCTGACAGGTGACAAGGACAAGTTTTCCTAAGTCCTTTTGCACTGGGGTTCTGGGAGCTGGGCCCATCTCCTGCTACCTGGGCTGCAGGGACCCAGAGCAGGACCTGCCAGCCCCTGCCACCCTCAAGGGCTGGCTGTGGAGTCAGCACACACTGTTGTTTCTATAAATGAACTCTCGAGGGAAATAAAAATCCTTGGAGACTTTGGAGATTCCTTTGCACCTTCATCTCCACCAGCACCCCTCCCATCCCAACTCCCAAGATACTTACAGGCTTTTCCAGGTGCTGGCTGGTAGCTGGTGCCAATCCCAAGGTCAGGGCAGGGTGGTGTAGCCTATCCCTGGATCTGCCCCAGTGCCAGGGGTCTGGCCCCAGGTCTGGGTGCTGTCAGCTAAGTTGGCCAGAGAGGAAGTACCACAGAGCAGGGGAGGGGGAAGATGCATCTTCCTGAGGGTGGGGCTGAAACCCCTACGCCTCCCTTCACTGGAGGAGGGATAGTTCTAGGGCAGCCAGCAGGGAGGAGGGCTCATCAGGGGTGGGGCTAGAAGAGAAGAGCCCTGGAGGGGGTGGTGAGAGAGGAAAGAGGGGTGCCGGCAGTGAGTAGGCCAGGGCGTAGCCTCAAGATGCAGGTCTAGACTAGAGACTTAAAGTAACGAATTGTATCACATAGAAGGAGGGAAGGAAGCAGGGGAGAGGAAATGGGTTCTGACTGAGAGGGTAGGATGCTGGTATCTTTATTTATGATAAATGTAGATTTTTAGATTAATAGGAAGAGTAGGTTGGAGCCATGAATAGGTTCTTGGTTGGGATTAGATGACATCATGCTGTAAAGGAGGCATGTCAGTAAATGCCGAAGAGCACAGCACTGCCTTTGGCTTTGGTCCAAGCCATGATGCAGGTTGCAGGAAAAGGCCGTCTTTCAGCACTCACCCCTTCACCCCTCCCCTCACTCGAAGGAATTAGTTTCATTCCAAGTCAACCGATTCTCCTTTCTCTTGGGTCGAAGCCGAAGTCCAGGTCTCCTTGGAATTACACAGAATGCCAATGTCTTCCCCTTCCCTCACCACTTGTCTGTGCTTGCCCATGTGGTTACCCTGCCAAGCTTAGGTTCAAGATCTGGATGCTGGGCAAGGAGACAGGCATGGCCTACGTTCCCACAGCCTGCTGCCCACGTCCACCTTAGACACACAGGGAAAGCAGAGGCTGAGCTGGGCTGGGCGTGAGTGGCGGGGTAGGGGCCATGATATGTCATGCCCACTCTGCCAAGAGGGAAAACCGGCAATGTGGAAAGAGATGAGGTCCCTGGACCACGAACATCTCCTCTCCTTGAAGTCTCACAGAAGCCAAGGACCAAAAAGTCCTTTCTTCAATCTGACCATGAGCCTTCCTGCTTCCCTTTCAACTCTGTTGCTTCTTAGGGAAGATGCAGGGTACGACGGTGATCACTGGGTTCCTTCCCCATTTCTAGTGTCCCCACTTGATCCGTTTTGAGAAAAGCCAGGGCAGAGTTGACCCATTAGCTGTCAGGCACAGGATATGATGAAAAGAAATGGGCTGAAACCGCAGCACAAACATAAGTAGAGTTGAGGAAGGGCTTTCTGACCACATAGGGCATGTGGGATGAGGAATATGTAACAGGAAGTCAGGGAACCTCTGCCCCCAGGGCACCAGACCAGAAGCTCCTGTGTCTGTTTGGGGATAGAAGCTTCTAGGTCAGAGCTCCGGCGTCAATCGACAAGAGGGCTGCAGACAAAAATTGGGCTGTCTTTGCCCCCTCTCCCCACCTCCTTCCTCCATGGGCTCTTCCCCTACCCAGAACACTCCCTGCTGCCCTAGTTCAGAGCTCCCCCAACCCGTTTTGGTGGCTGTGGCATGACCCTGGGGACTAGACTTCCGGTGATCTCTCCTGCCCTCTGTTTACAAGGTGCCAACAGTCACTAAAGCATTGAACTTGGGGTGATGGTCACAGTTGCTACTCAGGTGACCAGCCATCTCAGTTTGCTGGGGCACTGACGGGCTGGGACACGTGACTTTCCAATGCTAAAATGGGAAAAGTCCGTCTTGGGGGCAGTCAAGACTTGGCAGAAAGGAAAAGGAAAGGAGAGGTGGCACTGCTCTGAAACACTCTTCCTGTCCTCCAAATATGCCTGTTATTCTTCATAGCCCCTCATGCCCAAAGCCAAAAATGCACCCGGGTTGAGCAATTGCTGGGCTCAGGTGGCCTTTAGGGGAAGGGCCAGACGGTCAGGGAGCAAAGGAAGTCTCAGATTCCCAGGGCCCCCACACCGTCCCTCCTTGCATGCCTCTCTCCCACTGCAAAATCACAACACAGACGGGAAGACTTTCTTTTCAAACCCCACAGATTCACTGTCCCCTTCCAGAGCCAGTTTCTTCCTCCAGATAGCTCTAACAGACCTCAGAGAATGGACCCCTTCCCCACCCCTCATCCAAGCTCGTACACCTTTCTTTCCCTTTCCTCTATATTTCCAGTGTGTTCTGTGGGTTGGCCTTGAAGAATCGGGTCACCTGGGCTGGGGAGGGCAGATCAAGAAGCCACCAAAGGTTGGTATTGCCCAGCCTGGGCCTGACCCTGCAGGGAATGGGGTGGCTTGAGTACAACTCAGGCGAGCTGTGGGCATACACTCCAGTCCCCTTCTAATGACTTCCCAGTGTGTTTCAAATTAATAACTATTGACAAGTAGGCAGTGCCTGCACATGGGGACAGTCCTTAAAACGGACCACCACTGCCCTCACTCACCATCCCTCGGTTTGGGAGAATCTGAGCCTGCCCCAGGTTTATAATAATCCTGCCCAGTCAGATCCAAATTGTATCAGGGAAGGGTCCCCAAATGCTCCAGGACAGTGAGTTCTGGGAGGGATGAGCAGGCCTAGTTGTAGGGTTGATGTCAAGGGTTCCGTTTCTGATTGTCTTTCTCCATCCCGCCCCCGGGGTCTCCGTTGCCCTGGCCCTCCCCTACCACTTTCAGGTGAAGGGTAGTCCGGAGCTCCATGGTTCCCTCCCTAGAGCGGCTTCCTCCTCGGGCCTCCCCCGAGCCCTCAAAGAGCCGCGTGAGGAAACGCGGACCCGCCCGAGGCAGCAGATCTCCGGCGGTGAAGACGTAGAGCACTGGGTTGACGCTGGAGCTGAAGAAGGCCAAGGCGGTGGTTCCTGCCCGCGCCGCCTGGCCCGCCCCACCCAGCCTCGCCAAGGCCCCTTTCCGAGGGGCCAGCGCGGCGACCGCCTGCAGGAGGTTGACCGCGTGGTAGGGCGCCCAGAGCAGGCCGAAGGCGAGCACGATAGCGCTCACCAGCCGGCCCCCACGCGACCCGCGCAG